TTTTTTTTTTTTTTTAATGATTTTATTTATTTATCTAAGAGAGCATGAGCCAGGTGGAGGGGCAGAAGGAGAGGGAGAAGCAGATTCCCCACTGAACTGGGAGCTTGACTCTGGCTGATCCCAAGACCCGAGGATCATGACCTGAGCCGAAGGCAGACTCCTAACCGACTGAGCCACCCAGGCGCCCCTAAGTTTGCCCTGTCTTACGTGTACAGGGCCACCGATCTGTAATTGCAGTGGAGTTGTAAACTGTGCTAACCTTCCTGTCCTTTTCTGTTACCTTCGAAAAGGTAAAAACCCAGACTTTCTAGGCTGCCTGGAAGCTTACTGTAGAAGCCCCAATGCAGGATATCAACTAATCCACCAGCAACCATGAATTCAAGTTATAAGATGTAAGGGACTTATGCCCCAAAGAAACAGGAACACTTTCAGCACAAAACCATCATGAAGGATGGGAAGGTGGTGGTTTGGTAGGTAGAAAGCTTGGGTCCTCCTGACTTAGCTAATGGTTCAGTCTGTGACCTTGGGCAGGCCCCTCTCTGCTGCGCAGTGCTGAATAGAGGTGTGGTGGTGCAAGGACCTTGGCCTTGTTTAACAGGAGTGCCTTCAACATTTCATCAAGGATGTCTGTTGTAAGCACTTGTTGTGTACCTTTTATTGAGTGATACAAGTATTTTGCTTGCCTTTTTTTTTTAAAAGGTTGGAGACTGAATTTTTCTACATCTACTGTAGATCTTCCACATCTGCCATGATCTTAGAGTAGTTTTTATGTGATCACGGTGGTTTCTCTACTTGTTAATGAGATAAATTACAATAATAGATTTTCTAAGGTAGTCTAGTGTTAAATCATCTCTGCATTCCTGGGGTAAATCCTAATTCTTCGGTTCTCAATCGCCTCACTAGACATTTTTGCATAGAACTTTCACGTTTAACTGCCTTAAGCAGATGTCAAGGTGAGTGTCCTGTTCATCACCAAGCAGTTTTCTTGGTGATAAACAACTTCTACCCGAACTCTTCATTCATCCACTCTAATTCTTGGCAAAATATGAATATTATGAGAAATAACAAAATCACATATTTACAGAGAGGAAAAGCAGTACCAAACCATCCTATGATCTGATAGATGTAGTAAGTCCATAGAAGTTTCCAGTTTGGCTAAATTACATAAATGAGTCAGATACTGTGAGAAGAGCCTCTGAAAAGCCTTAAAATTTACTTCTTTGGGTGGGGGGGGCACAAGATGGATCTGTTCCCCACAGTAAATGGAAAATTGGTAGGACATTTACAATCATTGTGATTATTTTGGAGGCTTTTTATTCCTCTCCTTTCTTTGTCTTCAGTTAGTATCTCCATTCTCGTCAGCTTCTCTGATCTCCAACACAAATTTTGCTGGCAGCTTCCTGTATGATTATAGAACGTGCCTCCGTACGACTTTGAGGAAGGGTCTCCTTTTCCAGAGTCCTGATTGCTCAGCCTCCTGTAAGCCTCTCATACGGCTGCCCCAGTCAGCGGCAAGGAGCGTGTTGTTGCATGAGATTCTTGGTTTTCTGGACAATAATGCAATCCAGGTTTATGTTCTTCTGACGTTCAAATTTTCAGTTGTTTCGGGATCTTGATTTCAAGTTAGAATGTTTTTACAAGGCTTGAAACACAGAAGTTTTAAAAGAAAATACTGATTTTTTCCCCCAAGGTCAAAAGCTATAGGTGGTATCCTTTTAGAGATTTAGTTCTCACTATAGAAACTCAGGTGTCTCTTCCAGAAGAGAAAGGAGATTATAAAGAAACACTTGCTATGAGTGGTCAAGGAAAACCAGGGGTACAGTAATCCCTGCGTGACCAGTATTGGTCACCAGGCCTAACTAATTGGGGGGGCCACTGGTCACAAGTGGCAAAACCAGAATTTGAGAGAAAGATGTGACAAGGATGGGCCCTGAGCTCTGTCAGGTCATCGTCCCTACGGCAGATCGGCTAGGCTCACTCGTATGAAAGCCGCCTGCCCATCCCTGGCATCTTGGAGGAGCTCAGAAGTATTGGTGAATCTGTGTGGTGGAGTTCAGGAGAACGTAGGGATCACTTCCCCTTCGTGCACCATGCACTGGGTACTCTTGGGAGAGTTGGTTATGGTTGAATTGTTCAGGCTGAAGACACGGACATTTCAGTGGTCTTCAACTCAGACTGTTTCCCTGTTCTCTCCAGTGCCTTTGGCTGACAACAGTTTATCAGTTCTCTGGGCAGAGCAGAGTCCTGTGACTTCATGCTGAGAAGAAGGCAGTAAGAAACTTGTGTGGGGGCACCTGGGTGGCTCTGTTGGTTAAGCATCTGACTCTTGGTTTCGGCTCAGGTCATGATCTAAGGCTCCGAGCTGGGCGTGGAGCCTGCTTAAGATTCTCTCCCTCATCCTCTGCCCCTCCTCTCCCACCCCCGCCTTGCACGTGCGCTCTCTCTCTCTCTCAAAAAAAAGGAAAGGAGAGGAAAAGAAATTTGTGTGACAGAGCCTGTTTTCCAGTCCTCCCGAGGAAGTCAAGTGGAGACACTTGTCCAGGCAGGTTGGGGAAAGGCCTGCAGGCTCTGCACTGGGAAGCCTTCACAGGGGGCTGTTGCTCAGGGACTGTGCCTCAGGCCCCGGCCTGGTAGTGCAGAGTTTGAAGCCTGCTGTGCACCAGGAGCTGGAGCTTAGGAAGTGGCTCTGTAGAGCCAGAATGCCCTTTTGTCCTTTATTAGGTCAGACATGACAATCATGTGGCCCAGGACACACAGCAGTCACATGTCGCGTGACTGCCGGCTCCCTCGGCTCCCCAACCTCCTCCCCCCGCCCCCCGCCCTGTAGGGCTCTCCTCTTGCAACCTTGTGCAGGGGGGTGGGAGCTGAACCTGAGGGTTTGGCCAGGAGACATCCGATGTTTGAGTAAGGGTGGTCTTGCCAATAGGACCAGACCCACTGGATCTGTGCTCCTACCCCCTGTGCCTCCATGTAACTCAGAGGAGGGGGCGCTGCTTCTCCCGTGGACCCAAGTGTGGGCTCTCCCTTCTGGAATTCCTGGGCTGATTCCCCCTTCCCTTCGGAGGGGCCCATTTTTCCCTTTAGACATGTTCATATCTTTCCTGACGTTATGCCTGAACACCATTCTTCCCTTCACTTGACCTTAGGACTTGTCTGCGAAGCCCCAGCATTTGTCTCTCCTGGGTGAGCACTCGGGAAGCCCCTCTGTGAGCACTCATCTGGAAAATCTAGAAAGTTCCAAAGTGAAATGCAGATTTTTACCCTCTTCTTTGAGTGTTTATTATA